ACTAGAAATCTGTCATCTTAACTCTATAAGAATTCTGAAAGGTATGCGGAGGATTGTGGGAACTAACTGCTAGCTGAAACAGTAAAATGGCGGCTTTTAAATGGTAGGAGATTTTTTTTTCCTACTGTCTCCGTCCCTTCCTCTTCCTGTGTGGCAGTAGTGGAAGCTGGCACAGCAGAGGCAGACTGTAGTTCGCGTTCTCAGAGGGTAGTCAACCTCTGGCTCTGGAGACTTTGCTGGTGGACCATTCAGTGTATTTGTTCTGATCTTGTCTGGGAGCTGCATGAAGGAGTGAAGTGTAGTTCTGGTCTGTATTGCAGCTAACACTGCATGAGAAAATGAGCGGTGAGCAAGCACTGAAGGCTGTGACTGCATGAGAATTTCTTGGAGAAATTAGTTCATCTGAAAGTGTCATGTGTATGGGGGGAATTGAAAAAGCCACATACATGCCCAGAGCAAACACATTGTAATATTCTAATGCCCTGGATTCAACAAAAAGTTAGAAGGCACACGAAACTGGAAATAGTGGCCCATTCGAAAGAACAAGATGAAAGAAGAAGAAATCTTCTCTGTGGAAGCCCAGATAGTGAACAAAATAGAAGTCTTTAAAACAACAGTGTTAAACATGTTAAAAGAACTTAAAAAAAAAGAAATAAAGGAAATCGAAAATGATACATAAACAAAACAAGAATATTAATAAATAGGCAATATAAAAAGAAACCAAACAGAATTACTGGAGATGAAAAATACAGTAAGTGAAATGAAAATTCAATAGAGGGACTCAACAGTATATTTGAGCTGGCGAAGAAAGAATCAGGATAAGAATAGGATAAGCAATTGAAATTATTGAGTCTAAAGAGGAGAAAGGATCAAGGATCAAGAAAGCTGAGCAAAATCTTATGGAATTATAGGACACCATCAAGCAAGCCAACATACACACCATGGGAATCATGGAAGGAGAAGAGGAAAAAAGGACAGAAAGAATATTTAAAGAAATAATGGCATGTGACAAAATCCAACACCCTTTCATGACGAAAACGTTCAACAGACTAGGAATAGAAGGGAAATTCCTCAGTAGGATAAAGGACATACATGAAAAGCCCATAGCTGTCATCATACTCATTGGAGAAGAACTGAGAGCTTCCTCCTTAAGATCAGGAACAAGGCGGGGATGCCTGTTCTTATCACTATTATTCAATATTGTACTGGAGGTCCTAGCCAGAGCAGTTAGGCAAGGAAAAGAAATAAAAGGAATCCAGATTGGAAAGGAAGAAGTAAAACTGTCGGGAATTCGCAGATGGAATAATCATGGTCTTATCTATATATAGAAATTCCCAAAGAATGCATAAGAAAGCTGTTAGAGCTCATGAATGAATTCAGCAGAGTTGCAGGGTACAAGGTCAACACAAAAAAATCAGTTGGATTTCTGTATACCAGCAAGGAGCAACCTGCGGGGAATGAAGAAAACAATTCAATTTACAATGGAATCTAAAATAATAAAATACCTAGGAATAAATTTAACAGGGAGATGAAAGACGTGTACACTTGAAAACATAAAGCATTGCTGAAAGAATTTAAAGAAAACCTGAATAATATGGAAATACATTTCATGTTCATGGATTGGAAGATTTAATATTGTTAAGATGTCAGTACTACCCAAAACAATCTATACCTTCAGTGCAATCTCTATGAAAATGCTAACAGCCTTCGTTGCAGAAATGGAAAAGTCAATCCTCAAATTTATATGGAATTGCAAGGGGCCCCAAATTACAAAGTAATCTTGAAAAAGAACAAATTTATCATTCACAAATTTTGTTTATATCTTACTTGTGTAACATCTTGAAGGATATTAACTGTATGTGAAGTGCTGCTTCTTTTATCACAACTTTATTTTGTTCAACTTTTAAAGGACACCCTTTGCTTCTAGAATACATTTAATTAAATAAGGAACCTATGTTTCTGGGAGGAAGTTCTAACTTTAAGGTTAGGCTTAAAACTTTTCTTACACTATTTTGTAAACTATTTTATTTTCATTTTCTGTTAGCCATTGGATCACTGATGGCACGTTGGTTGAGAGCTTGGCTGCTAACCAAAAGGTCGGCAGTTCCAATCCATCAGCTGCTCCTTGGAAACTATGGGGCAGTTCTACTCTGTCTTACAGTGTCGCTGTGAGTCGGAATCGACTTCATGGCAGTGGGTTTTATTAGCCATTATTTCTGTTTCTCATTTCTAAACTAGAGCTTTTGAATATGCTTAATCTTTATAAATGAAAAATAAATTTTGAGTACTTGCTGTAATAGAGAAAATTATTGCCCTCTATATTAGTAGGACCTAAAAAAAATAAAATTGCGTATTTTAAAGTTTATTTCACATGTTCCAATATTATTTTACTTTCTGTACTAGGTCGTGCATGCATTTAGCAGTTACGTACTTAAGAGGGTGGGTGATCTTTGAATGTTATGAGTAGTTTTTTTTAACCTTTTGCCAAGTACGTTTTTTTTTTTTTTAATATAATATTTCGATAATTGGCATCAAAATAAGTTTACTGAATATTCATAAAGAATGGCAAGGAAGATTGCATTGTCTTACTGAAATTTGGCAAAAGTGTTTTTCCTTGAAATTTGGTGCAGAAAATCAGGGCAATCCAGATATGAGTATGTATGTGTGTCTGTATAAATAAATGAAGGGGAAGTATACTAAGTTATATGTGGGAAAACAGACATTGAAATAGTCTGCTATTTAAAGACATGTGTCGGCAATATGGTGCATACTTTTTTAAATCCAAATGAGTGGCTGGATTTATACCTAGATTTTCTCACTTCTGTGAAATACTGATGTTATTCCTTGCCCTTCCAAGGCAATAAATGTTGCCTTGATCTATAAGTTATTGTTGTGTGCATGTGAACAGGAGCGTGCTCTGTCAAAGAGAATTAACCTTTTCAGATTATTACTAGGCTGACTTATTCACATATATGTAACGATCTATGTACTATTACAAAAGAGGAGAATTTTATTTTTTCTACTTTTGTAGCTTTAACATACAGAATTTTCTCCTTACCTTTAACATTATAATTGAGCTGTCCACAGCATGATTTTTTTCACTGACTGTATTTATTGGGACTAGCTCACTTTATTCTTAATTATGCATTCTGATAGTTTATACAGTGGGTACTATATTTCAATATGGTTATTTAAATGTACCTTTGTTAAATATAAAGCAAGGCACCTCTGGTAGGTCCTGTTAGCAGTAAGTTTTATGTTATAGATATGAGCAAGATATTTTTACTACAGACTGATATTTTAAATTATTATTTCCAAGTTAGATTGTGATGGTTAAGTATGTAAGAAAAGTGTAATACTTTTTTATTTCAGGCTTATAGTTATAATAATCATTTGCTCAGGATTGCATATGTATGCAGAGTTGCTGATATACTAGCTTCATGGCCATAATTGTTGTACTCTATGTTAAAGGTTATGGGAAAACTTATTTAGCCCCACACTGTACTTCTCATTATTTTATGTACAAGCAAGTAAATTTTCCTGAAAACATAGATGGTGGTTAGCAACATCTGAGAAGAAAGGCACGTTTATTCAGAAATCATTGGCAATATCTATAAAAGTACATGTTTTATGTGTCACAGAATATAACACTTGAACTGAGTAGCTTATAATGTTATTCAGGAAGCATATTAAAAATTCTTCATTCAGATCTTATGCTTTCCCTTTCTCATTCTTTCTGCCTCTTGATCTCTTGGTTTGAAAATCTTCCTCCTTATTTTGTAGACACTGCTCTCCTGTTCACTACTTCTTCTCTGTTTTTACGTCTCATCACTGGGCCTCTCTCAGTGTCTGTTTTCCCAACCTTCATCCCAAATTCCAGCTGTATATCTACAACCAGTTGGTCAGGTAACTTTGCACCGTTTTTCAGTGCACTCTTTGATAGAGCATGCTCTGTTCTTTTTGTTTGTTTTGTTTTGCTTTTCTTCTTCTTTTTTTTTTCTTTTTTAACAGCCTGGAGGCTTCTTGTCAAATGTCCCATAGACTTTACTCTTGTTTCCACATTAATTTGACATGCTGACTATTCAAGAAGTGGAGTGACAGTTCTTGTGCTTTTTATGAAGTGTTCGTTGGATGCATCAATACCCTTTTGTTGATTAACCACTACTATAGATCTAACACCAAGAATATGAGCAGCCTGCCTTTTATTTTTTGTCATCTGCATTTGAGAAGAATTCAGTAGTAGCTTTTTAACTACTCAAATAACATTTCCTAAATCAGTAGCTTCTAACCTTTTGAAGCTAAGATACGATAGGCCATTGAAATTCAGAGCTAGGATTCAGCTGAGAAATTTGAGATATTTGGTGCATACTTTTGCTCAAGTAAATAGTTAAACGTTTGACTGCATAAGGCATCTGACTGTGATGCTCAGTGTTCTCTGCATGAAAAAAAGATAGATTATCATCTGACATTGCATCTATTAGGTAATGGGAACCAAACTCACTAGACCTGAAGCAAAGCCAGAATGAACTCAAAAATAAAAGTAAAAAAGGGACATGAACATGTTTTTTGTTTGTTTGTTTTGTTTTGTTTGCTTGTTTGTTGTGGGGGGTTGGGGTTTGTTTTTTGTTATTGTTTTTGATCTTTGTTGTTTGGGGTTTGTTTTCTGGTCAGAGCCTTCAGAACAGATTCCTTACGTCTTCTGTTATGAAATGAATCACATATGAAAGATGAATATATAAGTCATGGCTGTCCAGATAGTCCAAAGATATTTTTTTCCTTTGCTAATCCTATAAACCATTACAATTAAAAAATAAATTCTTTCAGTTTCTGAATAAGTTGACTCATCAATCTTCTATTATGGCAAACTTTTTCCAGAGAGAGGAGTATTGTGAATGTTCTGTTTTGCACAGCTTGTTGATAAGGTAATGAGTGGTACAGCTCTCAGAGTGATTTCTGCCTACAGGCATGTTCTCTCACTATTTTTCATGGTGTGGCCACAGGTTTCTGACAAAGCGAGAGCAAAAACTAATGCAACGGCGACAGCATGCAGAGGAGCTGCTAGAGTGGAAGCGGCGTCTAGATGCAGAGGAAGCAGAGATTCGTCAAATGGAAAAACAAGCTTTGGCTGCCTGGGACAAAGAATTAATAAAACCTAAAACCCCTAAGAAAGAACTGGAGGACCAGAGAACAGAACACAAAGGTAATAAATACTAACTCTGTTCCAAATATAAACTAAAGCTTAACATATTTGAAAGGTGTATTTCATTATTTTTAAAAACGTAAATGATTAAGGAGGAAAAAGGCAGAACAACTACAAATGCTGTGGAAATTAGAAAGATAAGAGAGTATTATGAACAATTTTATGCGAGTACATTTGAGAACTTAGATGAAATGGGTAAATTTCTTTAAAAGTACAGCTTTACCACAGCTTACTCAATAAGAAATAGAGGACATTACTAGTACTTTGACCATTAAAGAAATTGTACCCCAGTAGCTAAAAATCTTTTTACAAAGACTCCTCTGGCTTCACCAGTACACCAGACATTCAGGGGAAAAAATTCCAGTCTTATAATTCTTTTCTTTTCCATAGAATGGAAAAGGAGAAGATATTCCCCTACCCATTTTATGAGGTTAGCATTTAACTTTGATACTAAATCCAGAAAAGGACAATACTAAAAAGGAAAAGGCCAATCTTACTTATCCTAAATAATATGTTAGTACACCAAGTCCAATAATATATAAAAATCTAATACTTCATGACCAAGTGGGGTTTAGCATACATTAGAAAATTTAAAAAATGACAGCCATACACAGATCAGAGAAGAAAAATTACATGATTATCTCAGTTGATTCAGAAAAGGCATTTAATAAAATTTTTTAAAAAAAGTTTGTGATAAAACAAACCTCAGATTAAAGTATGAATAGAAGGAAATTTTCTTACCTGATAAAAAACCAAAAATCCAAACCTACCATAGAGATCATACTTAACGATAAAACAAAGAATATGTAACAGAGATTAAAGTTACGTTAGTTATCTAGTGCTGCTGTAACAGAAATACCACAAGCGGGTGGCTTTAAAGATCAAAAATGTATTTTCTAACAGTTTAGGAGGCTAGAAGTCTGAATTCAGGGCACCAGCTCTAGGGGAAGACTCTCTCTCTGTCAGCCTTGGAGGAAAACCCTTGTCTCAGGTTCTGTAACCCTGGTGTTCCTCAGTTCCATGGTGATCTTACCATGACATCTGTCTTCCCCAGCTTCCTTGTTTCTGTGTCTATGCTGCTCCTTATAACTCAGAAGTGATTATGTTTAGGGCATACCCTACACTGATAAGGCCTTATTAACATAACAAAGAACCACCCTTTTTTTTCCAAATGGGATTACATCTACAGGTATAAGGGTTAGGATTCAAACATATATTTTGGGGGGAAACAATTCAATACATAACAGTACTTAATGATGAAACCAAACCTACTACAGAGATCATACTTAATGATAAAATATAGAAAGCTTTCCCTTTGAATTTGGGGACGTAGGAGAAGGATGCCCTTTTTCACCTCTTCTGTTGAACATTCAGTGTAGGTTCTAGACAGTTCAGTAAGGCTAGAAAAAGTAATAAGAGTTATAAGGAGTGAAAGGAAGAAGCAAAATTCTCATTATTTACAGATAATATGGCAGTGCACATAGAAAATCCAGAATCTACATGTCAGTTATTAGAATTAATAAGTGAATTTAGCAAGGTTGCTGGATATGAAATCCATAAACAAAATCAATTGCAGGTCTATAAACCAACCAAATAATTGGTTAGAAAAGTCTAGTTTTTAAAAAAGATACCATTTGTAACAGAAACACAAAGTGTAAAGTAACTAGGAATAAAATTAACAAAAAATGTACAGGATCTCTAATGGAGAAAATTTTAGAATTTTACTGGGAGACATTAAAGAAGACCAAAATAACTGGGGAGCTATTCTGTATACACAGATTCATAGAGATGTTAATTCTCCCTGAACTGATCTGTAGATTCAAGACAGTTTAGATCAGAAACCCAACAAGGTTTATTTGTAGAGTTTGACAAGCTCATTTTAAACTTTATATGAAAAAGGAAAGGACCAAAAATAGAAAAGACACTTCTGAAGAAGAACCACAAAATTAAGGAACTTACTTTACAAGATAGCAAAATTTCTAAAGTTGTATGTAGTAATGAAAACAGTATGATGTTTGTACAGAGATAGACAAATAGACTAAGGAAACAGATTGCCCAGAAAAAGACCTGTGCCTATGTGGGAAGTTGACTTATGACACGGCAACTTTGCAGATCATTGAAGAAGTGAAGTTGGATCCTTACTTGACAGTGTAAAAAGATCTCTTCGAAGGGGATATAAAGACTTAAATGTGAAAATCAAAACTATATAACTTTCAAAGGACAATTATGACACCAAGGAAAGGAAAATATTTCTTTAAAGTATTATTTATACAAAGTAAAAACCGTAAAGGAAAAGATTGATAAATTTGGTTTCAATAGATATTTGTTCATTATTACATCATAAAGAAAGTAAAACAGCAGAGAAGATATTTGCAACACATATGACTGACAGGGAAATAGTATTAAGAATATATAAGCAACTCTCATGAATCAATAATAAAAAGACAACTGCATTAAAAAAAAATAGGCAAAAGAACTAGCACTTCACAAATTAAGAACTCAAATGGCCAGTAAACCAAAAACCTGTTGCAGTTGAGTCGATTCCAACTCATGATGACTCTGTGTGTCAGAGTAGAGCTGTACTCCATAAGGTTTTCAATGCCTGTAATCTCAGGGAAGTAGATTGCCAGGTCCTTTCTTCCATGACGCTGTTGGGTGGATTCAAACCTCCAACCTTTCGATTAGTAGCCAAGTATAAACTGTTTGCACCACCCAGGAACTTTAAACAGCCAATAAGCACGTAAAAAGATGTTCAGCTTCATTAGTTATATAATGATGTAATTTGGCAGTTACATAATGATGTGGTATGGCAATTATGTAATGATGTAATCATCCTCCATTTTGTGATCTGATGTCATTCACCATTTTCGTACAACACTGATTTTCACATAACAACCCGGTCTTTGGAACCTAACCAAGTTGATAAATGAGAGATGGGTGTATTCGTTTCCTACGGCTGCTATAACAAATTACCACAAACTTTGTGGCTTAAAACAACAGAAATTTATTATCTCACAGTTCTGGAAGCCAGAAGTCCAAAATCAAGATGTTGGCAGGGCTGCACTCCCTCCTCAGGTCCCCTCAGGGACGATCTTTTCCTTGCCTTTTCCAGCTTCTGGTAGCTATCAGCATTCTTGTGTCTGCATAACTGCTGTGTCTGCCTCCGTCTTCACATGGCCTACTCCTCTGTGTCTCTCTCTCTTATAAGGACACTTGTCATTGGTTTTAGAGCTCATCCAGATACCCAGGATGATGTCATCGTGAGATCCTTAACTTAATTACATCTTCAAAGATTCTTTTTCCAAATAAGATCACATTCACAGGTTCTTGGTGTTAAAACATGTACATATCTTTTTGCATTAAACCCATTACAATACCCATAAAACCTTTTGATATGTAAGTGGAACAAAAAAACTTCAGTGTAAGTGTAGATTGTTAAATTTAGCTTAGAAAACATTTTGACAGCAAAAGTAATAAAATAAGTAATAAAAGTGAAGATACACATATCCTTCAGTTCAGCAGTTCCATTCCCAGTTATGTATCCTAGAGCAGTGGTTCATAAAGTATGGTTCGTGACACCAGGGGAGGAGGGGATCTGAGCCTTTCAGTGGGTCTGGAAGGTCAAAATTATGCCTTTCTCACTCTGTTGACATTATACTGATTGTGCAAAAGCAATGGTGGATAAAACTGCTGCTGTCTTAACATGAATCAAGGCAGCTGCTCCAAACAACTTGTAGTAATTGTATTCTTCACCACCCTCTACTCACAGTAAAAACGTGCCAGTTTTATTTAAGAATGTCCTTGAGTAAGCAGTAAAAAATACTAATTTTATTAAATCTCAGCCTTTGAATACATATCTTGTTTAATATTTTTTGTGACTAAATATACATAAAATGCTTACATATGCTGAGATATGATGGTTGTCTTAAAGAAAAGCACTTACGTAATTGCTTGAGTTGCAAGTTGAACTAGCCTTTTTTTTTTTTTTTTCAGGGAACACTGTCTTTACCTAAGTTATTAACTGATAAACTGTAGTTATTCAGACTTGGGTATTTGGCACACAGTTTCTCAAAAATAAATGAAATAACCCTGCCTCTTCAAGGAAAACAACTGACAGTACTTGTTGCCAGTGATAAAATTAAAGGCGTTAAGTGAAAATTAGGATTTGGGAAGTGTGGTATACCCTACCATGGGCTTGACAGCTTCCCAATACTTAAGAGACTTTTCTGATATGATGGGTGGTGATATTAATGAAAAGTGATCTTTTCATATTGTGTGAGGAAGCTTGGCAACATTTGTCAGATCAGCATAATTTAGTGAACCAGTATTTTCCAAACGACCAAGACATGATCATACAAAATTTTGCACAGTTGAAAGATCCATTCAAAGTACAAGGTGTAGACCAATGGGTTTTAATGTAACAGGTCATGAAAATTTTATTGAGATGGTTTCATATTTCATATTACAGCTAACCTTTTAGAAACTACCATTTGTCAAGGTTTAGTATAGTGTCAAAAAGACTATTCACAATTCTCTGTAAAGATTATTAGAGTACTCCTTCCTTCTTTAACTGTCTGTGTGAGGCTATTAGTTTCCTAGGGTTACTGTAACAAATTACTACAAATTAGGTGGCTTAAAACAATAGAAATTTATTCTCTCACAGTTTTGGAGGCCACAAGCCTGAAATCAAGGTATTGGCAAGGTTGGTTCCTTCTTGGGAGCTCACAGGGAGAATCTGTTCCATGTCCCTCCTAGCTTCTGGTGGTTGCTGGCAATCTTTGGTATTCCTTGGCTTATAGATGCATCATTGCAAAGCCTTCCTCCATTATCACATGACATTCTGCCTGTGTGTCTGTGTTTTCACATGCCCTTCTTACAAGGACGCCAGTCATTGGATTTAGGTCTCACCCTAATCCAGTATGACCCTATCTTAATTTGATTATATCTGCAAAGACCCTATTTCCAAATACAGTCACATTCACAAGTGGTGAGGGTTAGGA